TAAACCTCTTAGTTCGATGCCTGGGCCAAACTAATGAGTACAGCCTTACATGAGCGCCATGCTTGGCTTTTGCTATAGGAGTCTGCTCCTCAGGTCTGTTCATCTTTATTAGATCCATTCCCTACTTGGCCTAAGTCCCAGGATAACAGCCCAGATTTCTGTACACTGGAAACATGCACAGGAAGTAGCTCTTCTTGGGAAGCTATGCTCTACTCCTGTTCTGCCAAGCAGATGAGTTCTAGGTTCTTCAGTCAGGCCCATCTGTGTGCCACAATGCCCCGGGGTCTTGGTCACAGCCATCTTGCAAGCCCTAAGAGTGTTCTCAGAGCACTGCGTCATGGTTGTGTTCTGTGATACAGCGAACACACAGTATCATCCAAGCACCTCTCATTCTGTGGCCTCTCTGAATCCTACAAAGTCTGGCCCAAGCCATACCATCCTTGCAGGCCACAGGTAGCCTCCAGAAACTGAGCTGAACTCTCCCTAAGCTATCATTGGATCCAGCTATATACCTCCTGCTCATATTCCTTCCTCTAAGGATCTAGGACAGGTTCTATGTCTTGGAGAGTCCAGCAGAGCAGTGTGGGTGAAGCTCAGGCAAAAAAGAGGGCCAGCCCAGATTCTTCCGAGGTCTGGATATCCTTGTGGCTCTGGGCGCCCCTCACTCATCCATGTGCCAGCAGCTGTAGCAGCTGTAGCAGCTGTAGCTCGAGCAGGCAGTAGCATTCTAGGGCACCCCTCAATCTACCATGAGAAATAGGAAGTTTCTGGGGAGGAGGGTAGTGGGGTTGAGTTTTAGGCACAGCATCAGAGGAGCAGCTCTGTGTCGAAGGTTTCTCATCTGCCAGCCTTGCCAGCATAGAGCATGTCATCAGGAGTTCTGCCTCCCACAGCACTTTCATTTCTTTCCTCCTGAGCTCGCTCTCAGATACATTGTCAGTCACATTTGCACACCAACCCCGGAGCTCCTTCTCATCATCTTGCATTTGCTGTTTCAGCCTAGGAAACTTGGCTTTTCACATTTTGGAAACATGAGAAAAAAGAAGTTTGATGAATCTACAGATTACATTTGCCCGATGGAGCCCGGAGATGCTGTCAGTGACAGCCACAGGGTCTACGGTGTCTACCGGGGCCTCAGTCCCCTTGATAATCATGAACTAGATGGTCTGGACCAGGTGGGACAGATAAGCTGATGCCCCTGTCATCTGCCTTCTCTGTGCACGGAGAGCTCACAGTAACGCCGAGTGTCACCGTATAACTGCACTTCACCCTCGTCCTTGTGCATGGCCTGCAGAAAACAACTGTGTGTCTTTGGGCTGGTCTCCCTACACACCTTAACGATGGTCAGGATATGCAGTTACACACCCACAAAGGAGACAGACTCTGGGGACTATAGCCAAATGTGGACTCAGGGGAAATCACCTGAAGACATTTGTACACGTTTAGTAATTCAAAATATCCATATTTCATCTGGAAACACATGAGCAGAGGCAGGCCCTAGGCAATCCCAAGAGGCTCAGTTCTCAGACACTGCCCCTATTCTCCAGTAGAGGGAAGAATTCAAGTGCCTTAGGCCTGTGAGCCACAGAGTCTTGGCTGAGATCAAAGTGCCAACAGCAGGTATTTAGGCCATAGTGACAATGTAATTTGATTGTACCTTACTATAGGGTGGCCACTTGTTTCTGATAATAAAAACAATATTTATATAGAAAGTATGAACCATTTTTAATTTTCTTGGGGGCTGGAGGTAGAGTGATACCCACCACATTGCTTAAGGGCCTATAACTTAGGATCCACCCAAGGGGATAGAACATCTGTCAGAGGATGCTTGTGGCTCTATTGCCTTGGGCCTCATCTCCCTCTGTGAAGCATAGAAGTAGCCGGGGTGTCACATACCCCTTTGTTAGAGGTTCCATCTGTCACACAGAACCTACGTAGTTTTCCATTTCAGCAGAACGAGCCTCAGAGTGAAGGGTGGGGAGATGAACAGGCAGCCTTTCTGGCAAGCTTCTGCTTTTCACATCTTGCCCACTTCTGTTTCCTGGAAGAGCAGAAACAGAGCTGGCCTCTTGCTTTAGACACAGACTAGCTGGTAATGGGCTCAGCAGATGGCCTTTGTCTGGCCGGAGACTGACCGGGAAGAGCTGTATACTCTGCCAGTCTGAGCTTCTGCTCAGGAAATTCCAGGTTGGAACTGGCTAACATTTGACTCCTTCTGGGTCCAGTGGGATTCATCTACAGAAGAACAGCAGTGTTTTATTCATCTGGCAGGGAAGGTAGGACTGATGGCCCCATTATGGCACTCTGATTCTACCTCACATGCAGGTGATACTTAACATTTTGCTTCTTAATACATACAGAAGGCTCAACCATGGTTTGTTACTTTAGGCTGCTACCTCCTCTGAAGTCCAGCTAGTGAGAGAATTGGGCATAAAGTTGCCAGGTTGGGCAATACTAGTATTTAGTTCTGGTACCCAATGGCCAATGCTGTTGTAGAGCAGGTCAGGCCAGGTTTTGTGCCCTGTTGGTTATGTCCCAGTGAGGGGCCGCATGCATCTGTTTTCAGACCTTACATGGGCTTGTATTGCTGCTGAATCTGTGTGGCCTCATGTGATTCCCATCCCCTTAGTGGATCTGAGTTTTCCTCTTACAAGGGGTTGCCCTTGGTGCCTCCATGTCTATAGCTTCCAGATAAGGAAGATGGAGGAGGGGAGAAAGAAGGCAAGAGAAGGAGGATCCTGTGCTGTGGAGAGGCTGCATTCTCCTGAAGATGCCCTCTTACACCACAGCAATGATATCTGGGGTCCTGTGCCTGGAAATCATCCTACTGTCCAGTAATCTGGAGGCTTTCATCTCTGTTGCTCTCTGCTTCTGGAAATAGCTGGACCACTGGACAAGAGGCTGCTTGACAGGCTCTGCCTGTGGCCTGCTTCTGTACACTGAGTGCTAGTGCTGAGTGTGGCTTCGGCAGAGCCTGTGTGCATGCAGTGCAGGGAGTGAAACTGCATGTGTCTCACCAGCTGACACTCCTCAGAGCCCTCCAGGGAAGAATGTCCTGGAGAGAGTGCACTTGAGTAGAGGGGGTTTGCATGACACTGTCTCTGTAAAGCATGGGCTTCACCCCTGTGTGCTGACTAGGCTGCTGCCCATTTTACAGATGGCACCTTCTGAAGGCACCGTGACACAGATAGGGCTACTCTCCCAAGACATCCACCGCCTCACGGTAGGATTTGACTCCCCTCCTTGTGGCATGGCTAGCAAAGCCCAGTGAGCTTGGTGTGCTGTGGTGTGGTGTGGTGTTTGTGGCCACAAGAGAGGAAATGATGCTACTTGATAGTGGGCCAGAACCTGAGCCAGCCCTGAGGCACACAGCAGCCTGAAGACCTCCTCCATTGGACTCTTGCTGACTGAGCCACTGCAGGGCATTGCAGGCTCACAGGCCTTTTGGAAAGTTGGCCTAAACATTCAGGATGCTGGAGCCTTTCCCTGGTCTCAGACCTGGTAATGATATGATGGCACCCCAGCAGTTTTGGGTCACTTTTCCAGTGAGACCAAAGCTCGGACTCACTTCTGGCCCACTGAATACTGTTTTGTTTTCTTGGCACGGAAGAACATGCATTCCCATTGCTCCTCTGATATCATATCCTGAATGTTAGGAGAGCCTGCCATGCCCAAGAATACAAATCAATCCATGGGGAGGCAGCTTGGTCCCAAGCAAAGACGTTTTGGGGAATGTAGGAGTGACTCAAGTCCTTGTTTGCCTTTTACTAGCTCTAGGAGCTTAGGTGTGCTATTGTCCCTGAGACTGGCTTTAGTTACTTGTCGATACCTAATACTATTTAGCCCTAATACAGCGGGGCCAATGATAGCCGTCTTATAAATCACATGGGAAAAGCAGAGGCAGCAAGAAATGGCTACTCACAGTTAGAAAACTGTCTAAAGGGAAAGAAGAAGACTTCCTAATGTCAATGACACACAGACTTTGTCTCTTGGCTCACACAGGGAAATGTCTTTGTATAATCTTGGCCTGTGATCTCTAGCAAATGTTTGGTGGTCTTGAAATAATAAGTTTATCTCTAAGGTAAAAGGCTTAGTTTTATGTGCATATATGTACGGGTGGTGGTGGTAGCGACTGAACCTAAGAAATTGTGCAAGAAAGGCAAACGCTTGTGTACACCAGGCTTTCTCTTCAGCCCATTTTTATCTTAACATTACTGTCTGTCCAACAGTCAGTGCTCAGGCTCCCTGGGATACTGTAACTTTATAGGTCAGTGATGTTAGATATGGGCCACTTCCGGTGTCTGTTTCTTGTGAAGATGCTGCAGAGTAGCCTTGGCCTATGGACCCTTAAACTGCCCCTTTGGCTGTGTTCTTCCAGACTCTACTGAGCCAGGACCAACTACTGAATGACCCGCCTGGCTGTCCCTGATGCTGATGACTGCAGATGACATTCTTCATGGCCGAGAGCCTAGAGAGACACGTGTGGAGCCCAAATGTTTGCCTCAATAAGGAGTTGGCACAGAGCCACCTAGATGGGGCTTGTGGGCCACCTTGGATGTAGGTGCTGACAGGAGCAAAAGCAGAGGGGTGGGACAGATGTGCAGACGCGTCCCTATGTTTCTCTGTGTCATCGTCAGTGCTTGCTTTCTGCTACACTTTTCTACCTTTTGTACTTTTATATGCAAACTGCAGACCACTCCCACAGAGATGAAAGTGAGGTGTTAAATGCAGAACAAAGACAATGAGCTGTTAGTTCATAAAAGCCTCTGATTGGAGGGGGAAAATGGTTGTACAATCTGTTCTGTGTGTTCTGCAGTGGTTGAGTGAAATGATTGGGGGAGGGGCAGGGGACCCTCTGGGGCAGCTTCATAGAAGTATGCATGCCCACTTCCAGAAGCCTGGGCCTGTGAACCAGGCCTTCTCTCCTGATCCCCCAGCAGCTCTCATCTACCTGCATTCTAAGACACACAAGGTAATGTGACTCACATTTCCCCCTCGCCTGCCTCAGGTACAGTGTCTGGTCAAACACCTCCCCCTAGTGGACAGTCTTCAAACTGGAACTTTATTTATTTTCCTGTTCCATCTCATACAAGCTAGTTCCCGCCCAGGCCATGGCTTTTGTAGTTCCAGCCTTGCTATCTGATCGCTGTCCATGGTTTTCTACTTGGTTCTTCACTTTCGTAGATGGTCCCTGCCAAACATTCTCCACTGTCACCTTGTCACATTTCTGCTTTGAATCCCTTAATCACAGATGAGCATGCCGTCTTGCCACCTTCGTGCCACCTTTCCACCATCTTGCCAGCCTTTGTGAGTCCACTGATTTGTTTTTGCTTCACTTCCCTTATTCTTTCTTCTGGTTCCAAATCAACTTTGCCCTTCAGCACCATGTGCCTCTGAGATGTTCACAGTTCACTCTAAGATTATGTTCATGTGTACCTACCACATAACCCGCTGCACTGCTGTAGTCTGTGTGGACTAAGTCAGTCCCAGGTGTACTGCTTTTAATCAAATTGCCAATGACCACTATCCTTGGTCTTCCCTGCAGATGTCATTGGCACCTCCTCTGGCTAGGCAAGCCAAAAACATCTCCAGGCTTTGTCAAATGACCAGTGAAATTACCAGAAGGTCTAGGGAACAACAACAACAACAAAAATCCAACGAGGTGGCATGAGTCCACTGGTGAAAGGCTTTGCAGCTGAACCTGATGGCACATGCTTGTAATCCTTGTTATTATTAGTAGGGAAGCTGAGGCAGGAGGATTATGCAGTTAACAGATGACTTGGGGTACAGAGCAAGTTCAAGGGCAAACTGGGCAATGTAGCACAGAGTGGGCAGTTGTGTCTTTCCCTAAGTAGAGCATTATGCAAGGATACACTGAGTACAAGTGGGTGGATGAACTTGGAGAGTCCCTCCCAGCCTTGTTTGAGATGGTGTTTGGGCCCCTGTGGGTGAGATTTGAGGGTATAGAGAGCTCCCTGTAACCACAATCCTCTCTTCTTTTTCTTGTACCCCCCGCCCTCCTCCTCCTCCTGCATACACACACATATGCACATCCACACCGAGTAGTAAATCCAGCAGTAAGTGCTAATAGTGCTGCTACTATGCCAGTTCTTCCAAAAGGAGAACAGACAGAATTAAACAGATCCAGGTTTAAAGGCAAGTGTTCCACACACTGTCTGAATGACTGGGGAAATGCATGACTAACACTGTCTGTTTCCTCCTGTGTAACTTAGAGAACAGAAGCTCCACAGAACCTCTGGCCCATTAGAGAGGTTATAAGGAATGGAGTTGGGGTAAGCTTACCCTTAAAGTAACAGACTGTTATTCTCACTCTGAACTGCAGGTGGCACTAGTGGTCCCCATATCATCTGGGTTGAAAGCTGGGCTTTGAAGCACAACTTCTGGAAATGGTAAATGAAGAAACTTAACAATGGCAACTTTAGCACAGCACCGAGATGGAAGATGCTAAAATATAAATATCCTCTATGTCTCCATCTGCTGTACAAAATTCAGGGGATAAGAAAGAAGTTCCTGGAGCCCACCTACTGTGGATTTACTGCCCTGACATATAGCTTTTTAAAAAGTGTCTCACAAGGCAAGGAAGAACACACAAGGCCTTTGCCCTCTTGTGAGTTTGGCCTTCAAAGCAGAGAAATATAAAGAAGGTTTGTAAGTGGTTAGCTTGATAGAGACCTGTTTAGATCCTGCTAGAATTCTATCCTGTAACCATTGCTATATTGCCAGTTCTGATCACACCCCTACTCCACATTGGTACATCCTGGCTTGCCCAGTGTATTTTCTATATATTCACACATTGTGAGCTAAATGCAGAATAGTTCCATTTATTCCACTAAGCCATGGAGAAAGTCATGGAGAAAATGGCTTCCTCCCTAGCCCCCAAAAGCTCAAAAATCACTTTTGTTCCCAGCCCCTTGAACTCTTCCTGTGCCCACAACTAAAAGAACATCATGCCTAAGGGTGCATGGAGAGACACCTTGCAAATACCCTAGTTGGAGAGGGTGAAGCCAAACTCACTCACTCTGAAACAGAGAGGGACCCGCTAAGTAGCATGAGAGGTGTTAGTAGGTAAAAATCATGTCCTTGGTATAGCCGAGCTGCTCCAGGCTGGGGTGAGCTGCCTCCTGGATCAGAGGTGGTGGGCCACATACCAGGATGAGTGTGGTCTCCCCAGGAGGAGGGAGGTGCTCCTTGATCATGTCAGCAGTAACAAAGCCCGAGCTATAGTCCCAGCCTGAAATGAAGCAGAAAGGGGAAAAGACCAGGCTGCCCTACAAAAGCTTAGAAGTCAGCACTGCTGGTTGCCATAGTTGAGTCAAGAAGCAGACCTAGGGGTTCCCAGCCATCCATAGCATTTTTTTCCAGATTCCTGGCTCCAGCCTTGGATTCAGAGACTCAGGAAGATGTATCTCTGTTCCAAGCATTGAGTAGAAACTGTCGCTGTTAGGTAGGGGTGAGGAGGCCACACTTGTGTTTGTGTAATTGGGCAGTGGTCTCTTCTGGACAGCTTATAGGACCTAGATCATGGAAGCAGGAGATGCGTCATGCATGATGCTAGGTGCGTGGTGGTTCCTGGGATGCTAGCTGAGGCTGTAGGAGTTGGCCAAAGCTCAGCATCTGAAGTCTGCTGTTCAAAAGAAGTTGGTGGCAAGGGGCAAAGTAGCCATGAGCAGGTACAAGAGGTTAAGGGGCCAGTGATCATATTAGGTGCAATGTGCTGACTGTGCTGTATGAGTTCAAATAGCCTGATGGCTCAGAGTTTATACTCAGTGCAGTGTGTGGCATGTAGAAGGCTCATTTAGCGCTTGCCCTTGACTTCCATTTACAAACTGCTGTTCCCAACGTCCTCCCACTCAGATTCTTGCATGCCCTATATAGACCAAGAGCCCCCAGGCATAATCTCCTTTAAAGTAAACCTTAAAGACAAAACTGACAAAACCTAGAGACTAGTCTACAGGTGTGTCAAAGGGTAGAGCTGGCCCAGAATAAAGGAGAGCAGTATGGGCCATACCACTGGGAGGCCTGTCCAGGGTATACCACAGGTCGAACTGGTTGTGATGAGTTGTGGCGACTTCTTCTAGCTCCTTTCTCAGCAAGATATCCTCTTCTGTCTAGAAAAGAAGCAACATTACAAAGGCCTCTCTAGGAACAGCCAGTATGGTCCTCTAAATCGAACACATGGGTCTGCACATTTACAACTGAACTGCCATTGTTCTAGCTCAAGAGCTTGCCAGACTCCAGGGCAGACAAGGTCCTGCTACTGTCTGTCTGTCTGTCTGTCTGTCTGTCTGTCTGTCTGTCCTGCTACTGTCTGTCTGTCTCTCAGATTTACTTATTTATTTATTTTATGTAGATGAGTACACTGTAGCTGTCTTCAGACACAACAGAAGAGAGCATCCGGTCCCATGTGGTTGCTAGGAATTGAACTCAGAACCTCTGGAAGAGCAGTTAGTGCTCTTAACCAGCTGAGCCAGAGCTGGAGGGTCTGAGGGGTGGGGTGGGGTAGGGACAGCAAGGCTGTCCTTTGGCTGGGAGGACTGGCTGCACAGACCACCAACTGCATGCAAAAGTCCCCACTCATTTCCCTGTGTCCAGGATCAACAAGCCAAAGGACACAGGCTTAGTGCAGGCTGGCCTTCTCTGAAGAGCCAGGGGAAGGCGGTCTACATTTGCGTCTGGGAAAAGTGGGCCAAGGCTCCAAGAGAGTGCCCAGGCTTGGGTCATCAAATTCTTGGGTCATACAAGAGTTCAGTAATTTTACTTCTGGCATTGTTTCAGAAAATAAAGGTTAACAGTTATTTATAATTACTTATTGTTTATGACCAAAATCTGGAAAGAATCTGAATGAATATTTAGTAAAACATTACTTTGACTCTGGTGTGAATATTTAAAGTTAGCAAGAGGAAAATGCCTATGTGATACTACTAAGTGAAAAAAATATTTGTATGTGTGTGAGAGGATATATCACATAAAGATACACAGTACACATAGGGAAAAAGACAAAGCATTCTTCTGAACTTAAAAATTTCCAGCAGGAACACCCATTATTTAATACTCAGAAAAACAGAGGACTGGGAATTAAGGAGGAAGCTCAGTGCATGGTGCAGGACTGTAGAGAAGGTAGAAGAGTTAAGCAGAAACAAACAGAGCAGGCCTGGCTTTAGCTTCTTCAGCTTCCAGCAGACTTGCTGAGCTCACTAAGCTACCCACGGCCACAGGCAGCCAAGCAGCGTGTCCTCAGGCAATGGGGGAGGAATGAATTCATACAGAGGCCAAGTCAGGGGACATTCCATACTACTGTGGCAAACTCTGGGCTGACTCTGCAGAACTAACCTGGTTGGCAAAGAGGAGGGACATCCTGGTCCCATCACTGGTGTCCTTGGTGATGTGTCGAATCAGCTGTAGCATGGGCGTAATGCCTGCAAAACAGTGGGCAGGCCGGTTTGCTCCAATGTCCCAGTTTCTGGCCTTTAGTGGATTAACAACTTCACTGATTCTCCTTTTACCATTTTCCCCTTTGTCCCCCAAAACTCAAAGTGGGGGAAGAACACCCTTGATTTTGGTGTTCCTTTCTAATGCAACAGAAGGTCAAAGGTCACTTTTCCTTTTAAAGACAGAGTTTCATGTATTTCAGGGTGGTCTCAACTCATTATGTAGTCAAGGAATGCCCTTGAACTTCTGATCATGTCAAGTACTGGAGTTACAATGTGTCACCATGCCTGGTTTTATACGGTACTGTGGATTGAACCCAGGGCCTCCTGTGCTTGGCAATTACTCTACCAACTGAGCCACGCGCTCAGCCCTCCTTTTAAATTTTCCTGTGACAAGAGGGAAAGAACATTTTGTGAGCTAGTTAAAAAAAAAAAAGCAAATTCATAGTATAATAATAGTCATGATTCTTAGCCTGAGTGTTCAGGTGGAATACATTATGTATGTATATATGTGTGTATGTATATATATACACACATATACATACACACACACGCACACACACACACGTGTACGCACGCACGCACGCACGGGGAGACTAGGACTAGTTAGTATTAAAACAGTCTGTGATGGTGCCTAACCCTGTATGTCTCCCTGAGAGTTCATTCTCACAGGATTAAAAAAGTCAGGCTGGAACTGAATCTTCCACAATTTAGGAACCTGTGAGCAAAGCCTGCCTAGCCTGGCCACACAGCCCTGACTTGGGAGGAACGGGGGTCAGATTCAGTATCTGACTCCACATTCCCATGACCACATATCACTTCTCATAGGTAGGGTCAAAGGACTCCCAGGTTAGAAAGGTCTTAGAGGAACCTCAAAAATCTTACCTGTGCCTCCAGCAATCATCCCCAGGTGATGAACCAGCTTTTTTTCAGGCTCACTCGTTTTGTCTGCTTTGATTAGAAGTGTCCCTAGAAATATAAAGATGTTTTTGACTTCTGCAGCCCTTGTCTGGCAGCATACAAAAGATGTCTGACTCTTAGGAGGCAGGTTCAGCTAAGGGACAGGTTATAGCATCCCAAGCCATTCTGACACAGTTGCTTCACAGGCTGCCTCTGGTATGCCAGTTTGTAGGTGGAAATCAAGGCTGGGTATCCCAGGGAATAGCTGGGCCTTTTCTTAGGCAAACCGAAATGAACTCGGAGCCTCTTAGAGCCCCCTCCATCGCAATGGTGAATGAGTGAGTAAATTGAGAATCTGGGTGAACGGATTAGTGTGGACTCCCTACACTGTGCTTGTCAGCAGGCACCATTCATACATCTGTGCAGAGGCAGGAATGAGTACACATGTGTGTAATAAGTTTGAGCAGTGACAGAAGTCACTATAAGTACATTCGTGTGAATGAATGTCTGAAGACTGGAAGTACAAACCCATGTGCCCTAGGGCTGAGAAAGACCACAGGAGGAGTCTCCCAGCTGTGAGACCCCACTGAACAGCTCCTGGTACCTGGCTCATTGTAGACTAGGCGCCCCGTTGGCCCCCGAAAAAGGATGGTGTCCCCAATTTTCATGTTCTCCAAGTACTGAGTCATCTTTCCTCCTTCAGGGTACTTGGGGTGCACATTTTTGAAGTAGATCTGGAAAGCAAGTATGGGTCCTTTATACTTCCAAGTTTTTGGTTACAGTTGCACTGAGCTGGAAAGTACACTTAGAATCAGAAATCATGCATGTAAACATTGTCACACTCACTGTGAACAATTTAACATTTTAATTTTGTTTCCACAGTAAAATATCCCATCAAAACAACTTAGGGGGGAAAGGGTTTATTTTAGCTTATAATTCCAGGCTAAAGTCTATCTTTGTAGGGAAGTCAAGGCAGGAACTTGAAGCAGCTCACCACATCACACCCAACAGAGAGAAATGAGTGTATGCACACATGCCAGGCAGTGCTCAGCTTCTTCTCTGCACTTAAACAGTGTAGTGTCCTCTGCTTAGAGAATGGTGTTACCTACAGTAGGCTGCATCTTTCTACATCAATTAATATAAACAAGACAAATCCACCACAGACATTTCCTCAGACCAACCTAGTATGTATATAGTCCCTTGTTGAGAGTCTTTTCAGGTGATTTCTAGATTGTGTAAAGATGACACACTAACCACAGCAATCCTTTGAGGCACTATAGGATAAAGTGTAGCATTGCTGATAAATGAGACTATTGAAAAGCACTGTCCAGGCCATAAGTCCTCCCCAGAGCACTGCTCTCTACTCTACCAACTTAGGATACCTGGGGGTTCCAGACAGCTGGGTAAGATGGGCATTATTTACCTTTATAATTAAGTCCACAAAGCCATGATCATCGTCACTGGAGACAGGCGTGTAAGCCCTTATCACCAATTCATTGTTAATTTGTGCCAAGAGATGGACATAGTTACCTACAAAAATGTATCAAATGTTAAGCCTGAGGATAGTAAATAGGACCCAGGAATCCCCCAAAGATTCACTTTGATAGCACCTGCCCAGCCACGATCACACTGTAACTCTTAGTGTAGATTCACTGTAACTGAATTAAAGGTGGGAATGGACATCAAAAATATCAGAAAGGAGCCAGTTGTGGTGGTGCACACCTGTAATCCTAGCACTTGGACATTAGAGATTGGCTTGAGTTCAAAGCTAATCTGAGCTATAAATCACAGTACAGCTTGGGCTAAGAGCAGGATCTGGTCTCATAAAAGAAATCAGAAAAGAATTTTTCTGTTTAAAGAAAACTATTGTCTTCATGAAGGTTTTTCTTCCTAACCTGGAGTCTGGTAGTGAGTCACCAGTACTCCATCTGTGTCCCAGGATAGAACAGGGCTTAGCCTCATGGGTGCTGCAGGGTCCCAAATAAAGTAACAATGTATGCAATCTGGCCATTGGCTCTGCTGAGTGGCAACAGGGATATTTACACTGTGTCTTTGCCTGTCCAGAGTAGAATTCTACAGACCTGGAGGGTTAAAGACATACGAGTTTAGACTATAGCCCAATGGCAGATAATGGGTCAGATTGAAGTGCAAACTTCAGTGGCCAAGGTGGTTAGTACTGAGGGGGGGAGCTGCATCAAGGGATGCTAGAAGCTAGAGGCCAAAGAAGGTTCAGATGAAGTAGAAATTAAGTGTACCTGGGAAATTAGAAATACAGATTGAAATGGAAACAGTGAGACACAGATGAAGAGGGGCAAAAGGGAAGTGGGGAGTGAGATGCTTGAGGACACAGGGGGTAGTTCATAATGTTAAACAGTGTAAATCTGGGTCTTGGACGAGTCCCTTGAGAGTGAGGGGAAACTTATAGCCATAGCCTAATTGGGCACCAGGGACACTTGATAACATAAGCCTGAGGCAGCAGCTTCCTTATGGGCTGGCAAGATAGTTCAAATTGTCTCTACTTGAGCGTCTATAGTGCTTGTATATGTTAGTTTGTTGTTAGTATGAGTGAGATAATGTAAAGTACTATGGAACTAATAAGGAAAACAATTATTAGTGTGTGGTCATGAAAGTTTATTAGTTCTTCTATAATAGGAGATGTGAAACTGGGGCCTAGAAATTCAGTCACTGCATCTCCACACAGAATGAAGCTGTGTCCTGGGTCCCAGGGTCCCAGGGTCCCACCTCTACCCATATTTGTGTCAGGTGAACTGTGAGGCATCCACAGTTTTCCTATCAAGACTCTTAAAGGGCTAGACATTGCCTTGTCCCACTGACCACACAGCTTCCTCTGGGGCTGAAGAGTAGGCAGGTCAGAGAAGTCTCTACAAATTCTATTTCTCAAGTGGCTTGTGCTTTCATGTTGCCTCCCAGCCAGGTGGTGACAGGCTAAGCAGAGGAATGGAATGCCCAGTGACAGAGGCATGAGGGAAAGCCAACAGGCTTGGGGGTCCAGCAGAATTCTTCATACTGTAATTTCATCACTTGGCAGAGTTGAAGTCAGAGTTTTCTTTGAAAGTAGGCCATCAATAAAACTCTAGGGGACAAGGGGCAAGGCTTCTCCATCCCACCCCTGTCTCTTGGGTTTTTCATCTCAGGAGCTGTCTAGAACTGTTACTGATGAAACTGGAAGCAGGACAGTTCAGGAGGTCAGCTAGGGCTGGTTTTCACAGTGAGCCCCTCCTTACGTGGGCCTCAGGACCCTTCAGATAACCCATCCAATTAGGAGATTTGCATTGCTAGTGACTTCCCTCGAATATTGGGCTTTGACTGCAAAGGAACATCTGCTCTTCACATCCCTGCACAACATGATGTTTTCATCATTCATTTTACCCTCACTATACCTGAAGTAGGCAGACAGGCCTGGGAAATACTGTTTCATAGATGGAAGGTCAGAGAAGGTGAGGGACTGGCCTTCAATTGCATGGACAGGTGCTTTTAATGAGATCTTAGGCCTCCTGACTCAAGGGTTACATCTATCAGTGCTCCTCATGCTATTACTATTGTGACAGTCCAAGTGGATCAATGGGGACACTGTCCTCAAGTCCACCTGTCTATTCCCTCCATTCATGTGGTCCAGGGTTATATCAGTGTACTCTCCATGTCCCATGAGACTGAGAATCCATTGCTAATAGGAGCCGAGTATTCAAACACCCAGACTTTCAGATGTCACCAAGCACTGCTCACCTACAGGAAGCCCTAGGACATGGTCTGGTGACAGCAGTCCAAAGCGGAACCTTCTGGTGTTGTGGTTGATTTGCTGATTAGAAAAAGAGAGAGAAAAAAAAAAAGGTAGGTAGGTTCTGTTGGCTCTCTAGGACTTTTGCTGTGGTGCTCTATTTGGTCCTGAAGTGATTGGTCACCCCACTTTCCCAGCTAGCACCCTCCCCCCGACACCCAATCCTCCTCTTTCACCTAACCAGAGGAAGGTTTAGGTGACCCACTACCTCCTTCTCAATCAAGGGCAGCGGATACTTGGCTTCAGGGTCCAGTAAGGTGATAAGATCTTTCTTCTTGACGCTCATTTTCTTCAGGGCTATGAAAATCACAGTGGCCCCAGCGACAGGTTTGGTCCTGGCAGATACAGTTCGAATACAGACCTCAGATCTCACCCATGCTGGGTGGGCTAGGCAGCTCTAAGTGTGGCTGATCTTATGTTTCAAAGGACTAACAGAAAGAAAGATACTAAATCAGAAGGCTCTCTCTGGGACCAGAGGACAGACAGGTTAGCTGCAGGTCCAAGAAGCCCCCTGGACCAGGCTTGGCACTTATCCCAGAGTGCCAGTGTCTCTAGGCCCTGCTTGCCTACCTGCCTCTATCCTTCAGCCAAAGGTGCAATGGCTGGGAAGGTGATGGCAATCGTTTTAACAGGCCACCAGGGGATGGCTGTGGTATTCTTACCAGCTAACAGCAAGGCTGGGGACAGGGCTCACCTCTCTAGAGACTTGCCACACTCACTTCGGATTCAGCTGGAGCAGTGGAGCAGTGAGTGGCTTGGGGACTCACTAGTACCTTCTGATGCAGGTAACTGAGGCAAACATCCACCTGTAAGAGGTGTGGCCGTCCTTCCCACAGCCGTCCTTAACTCCGCCCAGCTCCCTCACTGGGCCCCTTTGTTCTCATCCCAACCTGTTCCAGAAAAGTCTGCTGCGTAGTTATCTGGCCCAGTGTCTCAGTGTCCCAACCAGCTGGGAAACCGCCCATGAATCCTGTCCAGGCCACCGCCTGCGGCTGTTCCCCCAGCCCTGGGTTCCTTCCTGCCCCGCCCTTCCCGGCCGAACTCACTTGGAGCGAGATGTCCAACTTACCCTCGAGAGGGACAGTGCCTTTGATGGTGGCGACGGGCAGACATCCAGCAGTGGCCACTGAGGAGCTCCTGCCCCATAGCGACAGATTCCAGCCTCTGTGTCACATGACTCTGGCACGAGTTTCAGCCCTGCGCTTCTGCAGCTGGTCTTGTGGGAATGGAATGCATCTCCAAGATCCCTGATGCAGGGGTTCCTCTGCATCTTGATTTTGCCAGCACACGCCAACAGCCTTGAGGAAAATTCAGCCTCTCCCAGCTTGTTAATACTATGGCAAGATGAAAGAAGGGATTGCTGTAAACTTGTTAACAATGCAAACAGAAGAAATGGGAGTTGTAGCCTATAGGAAGACTATATGTCTTATTTAACATGCTTCCTGAACTGCTACCTAAATCTTCCAGGACCAAGTGTTTGCAGGATGGGGCTGACTGCAGCATGTCATGCCTTCTCTAGTGGGAGACAGGGCAGGACTCTCGAGGCAGAATGAGAAGTCCAGATTATGAGGATTCTTCACAATGCATTTCAAAACCTTGTTTTCCTTTTCCACACTTGCAAGTGGCAAAAGGAAAACTCTAATTTCAGAGTGAACTGAAGATCAACTTTGGCAACTTAGTAAGACTGGCTTAAAGTTGAAAATTAAACAAACCAACACCAGCCAAATAACAACAAAAAGAAAGGGTTGAGATATAGGGCAAGATTAGTTTAGCATGTGTGAGGCCCTGAGTTTAGTCTCTGGTATAGAGGAGGAAAAAGCCCAAATTGTAAAATGGTATTTCATGAAGGTATTTGCATCACATCGTAAGCTCTGACGAGGAACATGTACCCCCAGCAGCGGGACTAGAAGCCTCAGGTCCTCCAGAACTGAAGTTACAGGCAGTTGTCAGCTACCCAGTCTGTATGCTGGAAGCCAAAACTCTACTCCTCTATAAGAGAGAGTCCTCTTAACTACTGAGCCATTTTTCCAAGCCTTAAAATAATCTTTGGTATATAAATAATTTCTCATTATTAGAGATGAAATCAAATCCACATAGTAACGAGATGGATGTGCTCCTTACTTTTACAGGGAGAACTAAATCTTGGCTGAATATTTGATTCCACACAGGATGCCTCACCTTTCAGATTTCATCTTTTTTTTTTTTTTAAATAATCGTTGATGCTGAAACTCAATGTTTTTGTACATACATAGGACAAAAGACAGAAGTAGGTTTGGGGCCTGTTAGAAGTTGCTTGAAATTCTGTCCTAATCTCAAGCAAAACTTCATATTTATGAAGTTCAAATTGGTAACTCAGACAACAATTTTGTTTTTTTAAGTTTTCTTTTTTAAAAATTTTTATTGGGTATTTTATTTATTTACAACACAGATGTCATCCCCTTTCCCCATTTCCCCTCCCTAGAACTCCCTATCCCATCCCCCCTCCTCCTTTATGCCTTTATACCATTTTAGTTACATACATGTATTAAGGTCAGTCCTGGTTGAGGGTCTAGCAATACAATAGATGCAAATAGTCAAGGAACAAGCAAGACAATAGACACAAATAGAAAAGGAAAAAGCAAGGCATTAAACCCAATTACAGGGACACTCCTATGATCATGGTTTCTAAGGGGTTATCAGGATGACCAAAGTATCTGAGCCAAATTCCCTGTCCTAGCCCAAGGTCATTTTCATGTCTGAAGCCTACTTCCTTGTTCTAGCCTAAAGTCAGATTCCTGCCTGAAGCCTACTTTCTTGTCCTTGGCCAATGTCATATTTCTGCCAAGCAGCCTATTTCCTTGTCCTTGGCCCAAGTCAGATTCTTGCCAAGCAGCCTCAAAGGCTCTCTGCCTCTCCCCCTTTTTTATTTCATTAACAAGACCAGACAGCAATAAAAGACACCAAACAAACCCTGAAACACAATCCAACCCAGGAGAGATACCAGTGTGATGCCTATGTACTAAAGAATGATGGCGGAGAAATAATAAGTCTTTGTTTTTATCATTAAATAGTATATTTCTTTTTTCATCAATTTGTTTATTTGCTTTACATTCCAGTATCAACCCCTCCTCATTCTCCCCTCACAGCTCCTTGCAGCATTCCCCCTCCACTTCCCTTCTGAGAAGATGGAGGACTCCCCTGAATATCACTGAAAGGTTTTCACGTACAGCTCAGACAGATCACAGCAGACCAGATGGTTCCATGAGGGGGAATTTATTAAGAGAGAGGGAGAGCGGGAGGAGAGAGAGAAGTGGAGGAGTAAAGGCCGCCCATAGCCACGTGGAGAGAGGGGGAAGGGGAGGGGGGAGGGGAAAAAAATAACCTGCAGGCACTGGGTCGAGGAGCAGCCCCTTTTATAGTGGGCAGGGCTACCTGCCTGTTACCAGGTAACTGTGGGGAGGAGCATACCTGGGTGTTACCAGGTAACTGTGGAGGTGGAGTTTAGACAGAATACTAACAATCACCCCACCCTGGCACATCATATCACTACAGGACTAGGTACATCTTCTCCTACTGAGGCCAGACAATGCAACCCAGTTAGTGGAACAGGATCCACAGGCAGGCAACAGGTTCAGGGACAGTGCCTGCTCCAGTTGTTGGGAGATCAGCATGAAGACCAAGCTATACATCTGCTACATATATGCTGGGGGCCTAGGTCCAGCCCATACTCACTCTTTAGTTGGTGATTTAGTGTCTGGGAGCCCCCAAGGGTACAGGTCAATTGACTCTGTTGATCTTCCTGTGGAGTCCCTGTTCTCTTCGGGTGCCTCAATCCTTCCTCCAAATCTACCATAAGTCTGCCTGAATTCTATCTAATGTTTGGCTGTAGATATCTACATCTGTTTCCATTGGCTGCAGGGTGGAGTCTCTCAAAGGACAGTTATGCTAGACTCCTGTCTGTAAGGATAGCATACTATTATTAATAGTATCAGGGATTGATTGTTGCCAATGAGATGGGTCTCAATTGTTGCCAATGAGATGGGTCTCAATTTGGGCCATTCATTGACTGGTGATTCCCTTTGTCTCTGCCCCATCTTTGTCCCTGCACATCTTGTAGGCAGGACACATTTTGGGTCAAAGGTTTTGTGGATGGGTTGCTGCCCTTATCCCTCCACTGGAGTCCTGCCTGCCTACAGGAGGCTCCATGTTCACCGCTGCTAGGAGTCTCAGCTAGCATCACCACTATAGATTTCCTGGAGCCTCCTCTATCCTGTGCCTTTGATGTGTTCTGGAGATGCGCTCCTTCCTGTGATTTCAGTTCTCTCTGACTTGCTCTTCCTACACTTGGTCCCCCTGACTGCATTCCCCTCCTCTTCCCCTCTCCTACCCATTTCCCTCCCTCCATCTACTTCTAATATCTATTTTATTTCCCCTTCAGAGAAAGTTTCAAGCATTCTCCCTTGGGCCACCTTTGTTGTTTGGCTTCTTTGGATCTATGGATTGTAGTCTGTACTTTATGGCTAATGTCCTCTTGTAAGTGAGTACATACTAGGCATGTCCTTTTGGGTCTGTGTTACTTCACTCAGGATGATATTTTCTAGTTACATCCATTTGCATAAGAAGTTAGATACCAACAACCCAAATAATTCAACTAAAAAATATGGGGTACAGAGCTAAACAGAGAATTCTCAACAGAGGAATCTCTAATGGCCATGAAACACTTAAAGAAATATTCAATGTTCTTAGTCATCAGGGAAATACAAATCAAAATGACTCTGAGATTCCACTTTGTATCCATCAGAGAGGCTAAGATCAAAAACTCAAGGGACAACACATGTTGATAAGGATGTGAGGCAAGGGGAAGTCCCTGGTGGGACTGCAAACTTGAACAACTACTCTGGAAATCAATTTGGTAGTTTCTCAGAAAACTGAGAATAGTTCTACCTCAAGATCCAGCTATACCACTCCTGGGCATATACCCAAAGAAATCCCATCATATCACAAGGATACTTGCTCAACTATGATCATAAGAAGCTTTATAGGTAATAGAAACTAGAAACAACTCAGATGTTTCTCAACTACTGGATAAAGAAAATGTGGTTCATTTACACAGTGGAATACTACTCAGCTATTAAAAACAAGAACACCATGAATTTTGCAGGCAAACATTATATTTCTATATTGGAATGAAATGTTGTTGAGTGGGGAATAGTAAAAATATTTTTATTCCCCCCTCATATGTCTCAGACTGTGGTTAAGAATTTTAGGACACTCACAGAGACTGAACCACCAATCAAAAAATATTCAGGTGCTGGACCTGGGCCTCCTACACATTTGTAGCAGGTGTGCAGCTTAGTCTTCCTTCAGGTTCCCTAACAATTAGAACAGAGGCCGTCTCTAACTCTGTTGTCTGCCATTGAATTCCCTTCCCCTAACTGGATTGCCTGGTTGGGCTTCAGTGGGAGAGGATATATTTAATCCTACTGTGACTGTATGTCCCAGGGTGAGGTGGTACCCAGGGGGAACTTCCCCTTCTCTGAGAAGGGGAGAGTGTAGAGGAGGATTTTTGCTCTACCATTTTGTGTTTCTGGTGGATTGCACACATGCATCCACCCATGAGTTATTTTTAGGTCCATGAATGAAAGACATAATCACTAGCTTGTTTTTAAAATGCCTTGGCTGCCTCAAAGGCTGGGCACTCCTAAACCTTCCTCTGCTATCCCAGGCTCAATCAGGGAAGGAGTCAGTGGCCACTTACCTGAAATCTCATATGGTTGGTTGTCTTTATCTCCTGCCTCCACCGCATACCATCCTTCTTCTGAGAGTCATCGAGTCATGGCCATTCTGCCCCATTCCTCTCAGCATCCTACCTGTGCAACTCTAAGTGTCTCTCCACATTCTCAGCCATTGGCCATTGGTATCTTTGCTGATGGACCAAAAACCAAGTGTGGACAAGGACCTTCAGCATTTGGACATGCAGATTCCTGACTGAATCAAAGCATTAGAACCAATCTCCTGCAGACAGGAGGGGTAATGAGGAGATGGATTTGTAAGGGTGGAACTGGACAGGAGAGTGGGGCAGGACGCAATGGAGATGGAATGCAAAGAAATAAATAGATTAAAACAAAAAAGGAAT